ACAGTTTGGTGGTTAATTTACGCAAAAAGTTGTATAGAATTCTAATTTAAAAAACAAAAAAACAAAAAAAGTGATTAAGATAAATCTTTACATTACTTTACATTATGTTGTTGTTTGAACAGTTTTAACCACAACAGGTTTTTATCATTTTTATTATCAATTCTTAACAACTTCTTGGTTTTTTTATATCCACTTCTTCGTAGGATCTCTTTACTCTTTCATAACCACTTCTTCAAGTGATACAATCTTTCTTAACTCTTATATAAACACATTTTTATGGGATACAATCTTTTTAGCTCTCGTACAGCTAATCTTACCGCTTTCTCGCATAACCTAACTAAAATACAGCGTACTGAGAATCAATTTTTAAAAAATTCTTTAAGGATTTTCTCTTATTTTTTGCAGTGTTATGACCTCATTCAACTAGACTGCCAATACGATTGTTTTCGTTTGACGCCAGAGCAGCTAAATGAATCGACCACCTGACGACGTTAGCGTGAACTTGTACATTTTCTTTAACTAAAATATCTTTAAAAAAAGCTTAGAAGAAAACAAAAAGTATTTTATTTTTGGAGATCTTAGTATAGATTGCTTTTCATATAATAAGGAAAATAAAGCTAAAAACTTCTACGACTCAATTTTTGAAGCTGGAGCAGTTCCTTTGATTAATCATCCTAAAAGGGTAACAAGGGTAACAAAAAACTCATCGTCTCAAATTGACAATATCATAACAACTGATATCTTTAACTATTATAATCAAATAGGCATTTTAAAATCTGACATTTCTGATCATTTCCCAATCTTTCTGATTCTTAACTCAAATACTTCGATTAATAATAATTCTAAAACAATATTTGCTCGAGATTTTAATCTTGCTAATATGAATCTTTTTATAAATCAGTTTTCTCTTTTGCACTAAGATCATAATAATTTTAAGACAGGGCCACCGAGAGCTGTCAATTTTCCTTATATTATTTATGAAGGACCTTTTTTTTTTTTTCAGGTACCTACATTTCCTATCAAAATAACTTTAAGTGCACTTGGCAAGTAATAAAAGAAGTTACTGGCAATCAAAAAACATGGTCAGGTTCCCTCCACCAAATTATTATAGTTGATAATAAATGTATTCACGAATCAAGAGCTATATCTAACGAATGAAATAAACACTTTATCGAAATCGGCCCTAAATTAGCTAATAAAGTTCCCTTTACCCCAGTCGCCTTTAATGATTTCTAAGTACGAATGGATGATTGCAACTGTTCCAAAGAAATATACAAAATTGCCTTTAAATCACTAAAAAAAAAAGCTATCGGAGTTGATGGAATTAATGGTGAAACAATTATCGAGTATTTTGATCATCTCAAAGATATTATTTTTAAAGTTTATAAATCATCTGTCCACCTAGATGTTTTTCCTGATCGACTAAAAACTGCAAACATACAATATCAACAACTATCGCCCTATATTGATCTTATCTACCTTTTCAAAAATTTTCTAGTGAATTATGTACAATATAGTATACAATTATCTTGTCTCCAATAATCTTTTATATAATTATCAATTTGGTTTCAAAAAAGTAACTCCACTGAACATGCAATCATTCAATTTGTACGAGAAATCTCAAATTCATTTCACAGGTTCCAATTTACAAAAGGTGTTTTTATTGATTTGTCAAAAGCTTTTGATACTGTCGGCCATGAAATCATACTCGAAAAACTAAAGTACTACGGATTAAACTATATAACTATAAAATGGCTTCGAAGTTACTTATCTAACCGCAAACAATTTGTTTTTATTAATAACTATAACCAAAACCATCTTCTAAATATTTCCTGTGGTGTTCCTCAAAATTCTATCTTGGGGCCACTTTTGTTCTTAATCAATATAAATGACTTAAATAAAGCCTCAAACTTAATGAATATAATGTTTGGCGACTACACCAACTTATTCCTGACTTGTAATGACATATCCAAACTCTTTTCTATAATGAATGATGAACTTAAAAACATATCTACTTGGTTCAAAAAAAAACAATTTAAGTGAAATTAAATTTGTGTGTGCATATATATATATATATATATATATATATATATATATATATATATATACATATATATATATATATATATATATATATATATATATATATATATATATATATATATATATATATGTATATATATATATATATACATATATATATATATATAAATATATATATATATATATATATATATATATATTTATATATATATATATATATATATATATTATATATATATATATATATATATATATATAAATATATATATACATATATATATATATATATATATATATATATATAAATATATATATACATATATATATATATATATATATATATATATATATATATATATATATATTCGTTTTTATAAGTTCTGACAATAAGATCATACTTTTTTTATTAAATATAACATTAGTGGTTTGATTTATATTTCCAATTTATATCACGATTTGTTGTAATTTTTTAGTCTTGTTTATGTATTGATGTGAAAAACTTGTAAAAGGTTCTGATCAGTGGTCTAGGAAGGTTTTTAAATGTTTGAAATAACCAAATTATAAACAACAAAAATATTCCAATTTTTTTTACGTTCATATGTATGACGAAAAAATTATTTAAAAAAAAAATTACTGTGATAGGAGAATGGGAACAAAAAACTCCAAAGTCTTAACCCCCCCCTGCCCAAACGTGAGAGTAACAAGTTGATGAAATATTTTTTGTACTATTTTCAACTAGACTGATATTCGTCAAGAAATTTTAAATTTCATAGTAAAATATTTTAGTGTTCAAAAATTATGACCATACAAAGTTTAAACCCCCCTCACTTTGAGGGGGTTGCAAACTTTATATAGCCATAACTTTTGAACACTAAAATATTTTACTATGAAATTTAAAATTTCTTGATGAATATAAGTCTAGTTGAAAATAGTACAAAAAATATTTCATCAACTTGTTGCTCTCACGTTTGGGCAGGGGAAGGGGCTAAGATTATAGGGTTTTTTGTTCCCAATCTCCTATTACAGTAATTTTTTTTTTCGTCATACATATGAATATTTAGTTACAAAGGTTTTTAAATGTTATTTCAAGCATTTAAAAACCTTCCTAAGCCACTGCTGATGATAAGATTATTATGATCTCCTTTAAGAAGCCTTGTTTGTTTGTTTTTGTAAACAACGACAAAAATGGAAACAATATATATATATATATATATATATATATATATATAATATATATATATATATATATATATATATATATATATATATATATATATATATATATATATATATATATATATATATATATATATATATATATATATATATATATATATATATATATATATATATAAATAAAAGGTTAGATGAGAAAAAACAACTTTTTTACGGTACTTAAAGTTTCATGCCGTTTTCGGCACTCATCAGCCATATATTCAAATCAAGAAAAAACCGTTCAAAAATACAATTAAAAAACCGTTACAAAATTCAAAAAAAACAATGGAATGAGTTCTGACATCAAATAATTATAATACAAATAATAGCAATAATAATAATGATTATAATAATAATAATACAATAATAACAACAATAATAATAATAATAATAATAATAATAATAATAATAATAATAGCAATAATATTAACAATAATAATATTATGGAAAAAACATATTTTCTAATCGCCAGTGTCAAATTGAGAAAGGAGGAATTTGTTTCTATGTCTGCACTTAGAAACAATCTCACTCCTTTTATTTAGTAGATTGGTATTTTTATAATTTAGGATTTCATATTTTTCGGTGAGACATAATTTACAAGACTTGGATGTAGGATTATATGCTTTACATCGCCTGAGAATTTTCCACTTAACTATAGGAACTAAATTGGCTTCTTTTATTTTCCATACCTGCTTTGACAGCTCAGTATCATTTTTGTATTTTAGGATGTTAAAATATTTAACGTGGTTAGCGTATCTCAATTTAAAAGAAGTCTGACTTACACCGATGTAGGATTTTTCGTTAGGAGATGAATCACTAGTGGTGGTTACAGTTTCTTGGTATACAATGCTGCTTGTTAAACATCTATTGGACAACGGGCAGAAATTTTTATCTAAGCAGTTACAGTTTTCTTGATTAGAGTTTGCATCGTTGTATAAAATGTACTTGTTGTGCGAATTTATGATCGATTTCACACTTGGCATACAACTGTAGCTAACTTTGACTGTGTTCCTGTTAAAGATTTTATGTAGTTTGTTATTATTAGGAAAATGTTTGCCAATTAATTTCAAAAAACATTTTCCTACGTTGGTGGTAACATTTTTGCTAAATGGAGGATTAAACCAAATGATGTTGCGTGCTCTGTTCCGTTTTTTAGTTGATATTGCTTTAGGATTATATGTTAGATTACATTTAAAACCAGACTTTAATAAAGCCTCATTATATAGAGGAACAGCCTGTTGAAATATTTCTTTGGTAGAAGAATTTGTAGATAATCTAAATTCAACCGAGTGTTGTTTTTTCTCATCTAACCTTTTATTTATTTATTTATTGATCTATTTTGTGATTATTTCACTTTATATTGATCACTCTCAAATCGAAAAAGAGTTGATTATTATCAAATAATCAAAACAACAATATATATATATATATATATATATATATATATATATATATATATATATATATATATATATATATATATATATATATATATATATATATATGTATATTTATATATATATATATATATATATATATATATATATATATATATATATATATATATATATTTATATATATATATATATATATATATATATATATATATATATATATATATATATATATATATATATATATATATATATTATATATATATATATATATATATATATATATACATATAAATTAAAATATTAGCCGTACAAAAAATAATAATAAAATTTATAATTGAATTTTAC